CCGGCCGGCCCTTTTGCGTCCGGATTGAGCATGGCCTCAGCGCCCTGAGCGAGATTCTGTCCGGATTTTCGGAAACGGCCTGCCGATGGGGTCAAAATGTCCGGATGCAGCTGGAAACGGCCTATGGAGAGCGAATTTTCGTTCACGAGACACCAGGAACGCATTCAGTAGCTAAACCAGTCGTGAATGTACACATATGAGTACCCTACTGCATGTCCGACGGCGATAATCAAGTGAGAGCATAACGAGATCTAAGCGCCAACGACCTCGGAGCCCGTCCCCCCTTCATCATCATCCTCACCACCCATGGAGAAAAGAGCTCTTGGAAGAGATTGGGAGCTTAATATAGCTTTAATAATTCGTGGTGTAAATCGACATTTACACAGCTGGATTCGCCCAGGCAGCGCCCCACCACCAGCCTGTACCCAACCACTGGGCAAGCGCGAATGACGATACCGCTCATCACCGTTTGACCAGCACGGACCATGCGTCGCGACGACGGTTCATTCGCAGGAGCGGACACTCCGAGCTCACTACGCTAGCCCAGCCGCCGCGTGACCTCCGGGAAGTGCGCGCGCGCATCACCATGTGTCCTTCGAGGTTTGCGCGCACCCTGACCTGAGTCTCCCCGCGTCCCGACACGTCTCCGCATAAGGCTACAGCCCGGGTCAACGACCCCTGATGCCCACCCGTTGAGTCCAAAGCACACGCGGCATGAGGGCGGGTGGGACGCCGAAGGGCGCAGTTCGCATTTCCGAGGTGCCCGAGTCCCGTGCTATTTTCCCCCTCTCGCTCTCGCTCTATTGTGCCGCGGTTCGGCGAACCTCCTCTACCTCGCTTTCGTCAAGATCCTCGGATGGCAGATCTCGAGTCGCGTGGGCGATTCGGCGACTAGCGCGGCGCGCGGAGACGTTAAAAGACGCCTGACGACTCGTAGTTAGTACTGTGAAGTCATTGATTGACGGCATAATGGTCTGATTTGTATACCGAGTTACAACCACAAGGACCACTTTAAATGGCTATAAACCTTTACTTACCTGGCCGGCGTGCTGGCGAAATCGGTCACAAGGCATCAGTCACAAAGGTAACTCAGAGTGGTGTCTGGTTTATAATACCCGCCCTTACGGCCAGGTGCCGCCAACGGCCTCCTCAACCTGCCTGACCGGCCGTCCGGACCATTGACCACGGGATCAACCCCCGGCCATCCAGAAAATGTCCGTTTGGGCCTAAGCGCCCCATGGCATAGGCACCCCCAGACCGGCGAAAATGTCCGGAAACCGCCAACGGCCTCTGAGGGAGATGTCGGGGGTCCTATCCCAGATCAGCCCGCGTTGGCCCCACCGCGCTTGAGCCCGGGACGTTCGGACCTGCGGCCCGGACGACCCGCGAAGCTCCGTTGGGCGCGGGGAATTGATGCCCGTCATGGTGGGCTGCGGACTTCTGGCGAGCGATGGCCGCTGGCAGACTGCAGTAGAAGCAATCAAGGCCTCGCGTCGCGTCGGTGCTGCTGCTCGCCCTTCGCGGCTGCGATGCCGACTCGGCTTCGGACCAAGGCGCGTCCGAGTCCATCGAACCCGAACCCGAGGCAAACCCGAGGCGCCCATCAAAGGCGGGGGGAGCGTGCTTGTGGAGGACAGTGGGCGATTATGGGGCGAGCCGCGCGGTCCTGTGCCAGACATTCGCGGCAGACGTCGTGTCCTCGCCAGCTAGTGCGTACCCTCCAGAGTGTGGATCGCGATCAGCTCGTGCGTACAGGGCTGGGGTGCTACGGGTGACGAATGCGGCCCGCGAAGCTCTCTGCATTGATTCAAACGGCCGCCCTGCGCCTCTGAGGTTCCCCGATTCCGATTCCGAGCCCGAGCCCGAGTCCGAGCCCGGGTCCGGAGCGGGATGCACAAGCCTCAGGCCTCAGGCCTAAAGGACGACGAGGAGATGCACGCAAGCACGAACTCGACGCGCGCGGGAGCCATGGGCGCGCTCGCAGGGAGCCTCAAGGCGTACGTGCAGCGTCGTCGTTCCGACGCCCGGAACGCGAACAACAGATCCGTGGCTCGCACACGCGCAGCGGACAAATGACCCCATGTTCGTGGCGCGTATGTACTACGTGCACATCTGCCGCGGTCTATCGCCGACTCGCTCGTTGCGGAACGAACCACTTCTTTTGCGCGTGATGTGCGGCGTGCAGCGTTGCGATGGGCGGTACGGGTGCCCTAGACGGCAGCAGCGGCTGCCGCTGCCGACGCGGACCTCCACCGCACCCTGCGCGCCCCCGGTGCGCGGGGGGCGTTTGTGCGCGCTCCCGTGACGCGGCGGCTGACGCGGTCGACCGGGCTGCCGTAAGTGAGCTGGGAGTAGTGGCCGGTCGACGGGGAGGAGGGAGGGGCTTGCACTAGCCCGGAGGCGGTACGACCGACGTTTACGAGACCCTGGCGGGCCCGGACGGGGATGGTCCGAGCCTGACGGCCGCCGGCAGCATGTACAGTGTCTCTAGTTTGGTGCGCACATAGTAGAAGTCGGTCGGTGGTGGCGGCCGCGGCCGCTGGTGGCTTTGTCCGCGGATCATGGGCAGGAGACGTGCGTGCATGCTACGTGCTAAAGCGGGCGGCTGGGCACTTGTGTCTGTCCGTGGTTAGCGGCGTGGGGGGATGCTGGAGGTCAGGGCGAAGACGTCGCGGTCGAGGCTGGATGATGTTTTTTGCAACCTGGTTCCTGATCCATGTCGTGGTTTGGGGACGCGGGGCTCACCGAGAAGAGCGGGTTGCCAGGGTCAGAGAGATGGAGGCACGGACGCGCAGCGCCGTGGAGACGTGACGCCGGCGGCCTCAGCGCCGTAATCCATAAATGACGGAAAACACCGACGAAAATTCGGTGCGGCACGGATGCACCACCAACGTTGATGAATATTCGCCTTGCGGATTCAGCTGGAACTGGCGTGCAAGTGCCGCCACAACGACGGCGGTGAGGGTTGGGTTACGGTGGTGGTTAAATATCCATAAGAAGCCTAGCCGCCCCCGCCGCGCGCAAGCACATGCCTCTCCCTTCAACGCGCCCGCCAATCTGCGCTGCCGCCGGATACGTGTCCCCTCGAAGCGTCCTAGCTGAGCGGTAAGCGGTCCGCGGCGCGATCGTGTTTCAGAGGGCATCCGTAGCCGAGACGCGTGAGGCGCTGCGCCGAGAGTCCGAGATGCGTGCGGCACGGGGACACCTCGCGCCTGCGGAGGCCGCTGCGCGCGAACGACCGCCCGCGCGAGTGGCTTCGTGGTCCGCATCGTCTCTGCGCGGACGCCCGAGCGGGCGGTAGGGACCTGGACCTAGACAGGGCCTGGTTCACCTCCGGGCGTTGAGGGGGGCAAGTGCCTCCCCCGGCCCACTGCACGCGCGGCGAGCGGGCTTCCGCGGGCGCCCGCCGTCCCGCTCGTGCGCGGGCAGCGTCGTGCGTGGGTGCCCGCCGGGAGGGCACTCCCACGGCACCGAGGGCGACCGGTGACGCGTGCGGGCACGATTGCAAGGTTTCCGGGCGTGCAGGAGCGCGAGGCATGGAAGACGTCCGACTCTCCGAGTCGGCGCCGGGGCTCGGGGAGCGCGAAGGGGGCGGTGGGTGCAGAGACGCCCCACGTGCGCGGCGGGTGAAGTACGGGGGGAGTCGCGCCGCCGTCCGGGGCCGAAGGGTGGAGGGAGAAGAGAAGAGAAGGCGAGGGAGGACGATGAGCCGCACAGGCGGAGGTGTTCGCGCGCGCGCCAGCAATAGCTGAGCGCGGTTGCACGCAGCGGCGCTCCACCGGGCTGTCGGGCGGACTGTGGAAGGGGGCGAGGTGTGGGAGATGCCCACAGCGTCGCATACGCGTGCAAGGCTCGAAGCAAGGGCTGAACGCCACAGGGATCGTTCGATAAGGAGCCGGGCGGCAGGAGCGACGTCCGATGTATGGTGCACTAGCTCTGAAAGGGGACCAGGGGGCTCTTGTGTGATGTCTCCGTGCGCGGCGGGAAGGGTGTGTGTTATCACCGACGCTGAGCCTGATGTGCTTGACGGTGCGCATGGTGAGGAGATGTCAAGGAAAGCAAGGGAGCTTCTAGACTGGGGTCTTGGCATCAGTGCGAGCGTCGAGGACGGATATACGAGGGCGACCCATTTGTCGATGCGACCATCGTGGATGGGCACCCGGGGGCCTCGGGAGTGGCAAATGCGGCATGGCTTCAGCTCTCCCAAGAGAGCATGGCGTGGCGAGCCGTCAGAGGGTCCAGCAGCGTTCGCGACTGAATGCAGAATGAGCCTCAGCGCAGGCGCGGCGGACCCAAGCCCGTGTTTCACGCACCTGTGGCGTGCAGGTCTGAAGCGATAAACCGGCATTTGCGCACGTAGAACGGCTTTCGTCCACTTTGCAGAGGAGTGGCTGCCATGCTGCGACGGCACTGATCGTGGGCGAGACGCTGCGAGAAGCACGTATAAGTATAGCGGAAACGCTTCGAGGGCCGCAGCCGGTTCGATGGTCCACCTTCTCCGGATGCGCAAGGGCATGCTGGTCTTATCGTCAAGGAAGGATTGGCGGTGAACCCCGGTGGATGCAATGAGCCATCTGGATTGAGCAGTCGAGCTCCAACGTTGATTTATCTTGAGCTTTGCGTTGGCTGCGAGCTTGTTTAAGTTGAGCCTAGCCAGCGCAAAGTGTCCTAGTAATGTAGCGAGTTATGGGCACTATCGACCGCTCTTTAGCCATCTGAATCTTGGAAATGTCGTGTGTACTCACAAAATGGCTTGATACCGGCTGGCGCGCGTCCTTTGTATCCGTACCAATAAGCACTGTTTCAAGTTTGCAACGAAACCAGGTCGAAGCGAGACTTCCCGCTGAACATGGACGTAGCACGAGTCAAGATTCGAGTGAATAGAGCAGCTTGAAGACGTACTATGGGGTCACGGCAACTTCATTAAGACATCAGAATTCACTACAAAACTAATCCACAAGGGGAGACGCCACAGGAATGTCGAGAGTAAGAAGAGACACTTATGAGACTGCATCCTTCTTCTTCTTCCTCTTCTTCTTCCCTTCCGCGCTACCAGCGGACTCCACTCTTTCACGCTTGACGAGTTTGCTGGGTAGTGGAACAGGCGCATCGACACCCTCAGGCTTCATGAAGGCGGTACCTGACGGTGCCGGCGGGCGAGCGGATCTTGAAGTATCAGGAGGGGTCGAGACATCGATCGGTGCGATTTCACGAATGAGCTGCTGTGCCGTTTTTCGAGCGACCTTCTTGTCACCATCAGGACGCGTGGAGATGGGGGCCTTGAAGTTTGAGATCGAAGTGGGCATCGCACGTCGCTTGGGGCGTGGGTGATCGTCGTACTCCAGATCGTCAGGCTTTTCTTCTAGGTCTTCGCCGTCTTGCTTGTCTTTGGACTGTGCGAGCGCAGGTTGTATGTGGAATGTCCACCGGTGGACGGGGCACGCACCTCTTCTGCAATCACCTCCCCTCGAGGGGTGAATGTCCGCCGCCCCTTCAGAACGGCCTTTGATGGCGGTTCGCTCGAGGAGGGCCCAGAAGACGTCTCCGCTTGGCTCATGAACGGCACATACGAGTCTTCATGGACGGTATCATCTCTGTGGGCAAAATCTAGCCTATACGACACAAGGCATCGAATGGAGACTCACGTAGACCCAGAAGACTGTCCAATACCCCACGCGTCCTTCAGTTCTTGAGAGACCGACCACTCCGCGTCGTCCTTGATCTTCGCCTGTTCGGCCGTCACCTGAGACTGAAGTTTCGCCCGTTGCGCATTCTGCATGAAACGCAGGCTGAGCGTGCCATTGCTCAGCGTTTTCCCGGCCATGGTGCCAAAGAGAGACGCAGAGGTGAGGCCTTGAGGGTCAAGCTGCAGACAGCCGTAGAAGCAGAGGTACAGGTCTGTAGAAGTGAGATCTAAGCTAGAACCACTGGTGACTTCTTCCCTCAACCTAAAACAATATAAATGTAATTTAAGAAGTTGTTGATAAGAACCCTTGGCACAGTGGTAGCGCGTGAGATTCCAGATGGGAAATCCTCAAGGTCGTCCGTTCAATCCGGGCAGGGTTCATAGAAGAAGGAGGTTATAGCTTTTTATGCCATGAAGAGGTAGAATCGTATCGCTGTACCTGCACTTCTGCTCCCATATCTCAACCTATGAGGACAAAGCGACATCGGAAATGAATTATTCCATTGGCCCAACTTCATCAAGAATCACAATGGTCACGCTACGATACCAACTTGCATGCCACGGACGCTGCCATCCAGATGAATGCACCAACGATCCCCAATCGCCCCGTCTCCTGCGGCGGCGCCAAATTGCTCGCTGGCCCAGGGCTGGCGTTCAACGTCGGCGGTAAACCCGACTGGTTGAGTGGTGCAGTCCCGGGCTGCTTGAAGCCGGAGCCCTTCGCCGCGGAGACCCAGTGCGTGTCCGCGTGGGGGTACTGTCGATGCGCGCGCGCAGTCAGCTCTCCGTTCCATCCCTTCGGGCCTGTGCGGGCGCAAAGGGAGGCTGACCGACCTGGAAGACCATGACCCCGGCGTCCCACCCCTGCGCCTGCGCCTGCGCGAGGCACGCCGAGAGCGCAGCGGGGTCCATGTAGCCGCCGCTGACCGTGTCCTGCGGCGCGCCGGGCTTGCCGACGACGATCTTGCTCTTGTCGACGCCCGAGGCGGCGATCTCGAGCACGGCGGAGCCCCCGCCGGCGGTGATGAGGCTCGTGCAGTCTTCGTACCCCGGGGTCGGCGATTCTGCCGTACGGTGGAGTCAGTCAGCGTGGACACGAGGGGAGGGGGGAGGCAGAGAGGGCTCACGGTTGTAGAACTGGATGTTGTACCAGTCGATGAGCGCGCCGACGTCCTTGTGGACGACGAGGTAGCCGCCCCCGGGCACGAAGTCCGGCGCGAACCACGGCGCGACGGCTGTCCCGCATCCCGCGTCAGCGCGTCCTTCCCCTTCCTCGCTCGCAGACAGATGAGAGACTCACGCGCGTGCGTCAAGATGAACTGCCCCTGCGGGAGCGCCGCCCGCAGCGCGCGCGTGAAGTCCCCGAGCCACTTCTCGCCGACGCCCGGCTTCGCGCGGACGAGCTCGACCTCCTCCCAGTCGACGTCGATGCCGTCGAGGTCCGTCTGCTTCACGAACTGCGCCATCTGCGCGGCGAGCGCGGCGGGGTCCGCGCCCGCGGAGGTCGGGAGCTCCGTTGCGCCGAAGGCGGAGACGACGAGCGCGACGCCGGCGGCGTTGTACTGCGCCTTGAGGGCCGCGCGCGTTGCGGGGTCGGTGGCGGCCCAGGCGGCGGCTTGGTCGTGTGGGCCATCGGAGAGGAGGAAGGCGAGGTTGCTGGTGACGGGAGAAAAGTCAACAAGGAAAAGGGCAGAGAGCAGAAGGAGGAGAGGAAGAGGCGTACAAGACGTTGAAGCCTTGAATCTGCGAGAGGTCGGGCAGGACGGGGGTGACGGGGGTTTGGCTGTAGAGAACGAATTTGGGCCCGGAAGGGATCGTGTTGCCACGGCGCGCAAGGGCAGCGTGCGGAGGGGAGCGTGGAGCGGCTCCTGCTGTGACGGCTCCCAGAACGGTACAGAGAGCGAGCACACGGGAGAGTGGGGTTGAAGAAACCATCGGATGCGCTAGGCCTAGAACGTAGAAGAGCTGAACCTGCAGAGGAAGAAATCAAAGCGTAAAATCCTAGCCAGAGGGGAGTGTTTTGAATGAAGAAAGAGCAGAGCAGAAAGGAACGTAGCGATGCTCTCGAGAACGGCAGAGGCTACTTATTGAACAAGGTGAGGCTGACATACGAGAGCGACGATCGACCTTCGATGTGGGCCCATCGCGGGATGATGGAATCTCGGCTGACTTCCGCGATGCTGAGCAATTGCGTACGCCGGGATCGACGAAACCGACTCACCACCAACAGGGCCCTTCGACGCATGAGATCAAACATGACAGTCGCACCTACACCCCATGCCATTTCGTACACCCATACAATCGTTCGACGTTATCCCAGCCCCTCCCATCCCGCTGTCCCTCCCCTACTCCACTCTAAATCAACGGCCGGCTCTTGTATAACAGCACGTACGCCGACGCGTCCTGCCCGCCACCGGAAAGCGTCTCGAGCTTTTCCGCAGGGAAGATCGACACCTTCTCGTCGTCAAACTTGTACCAGTCGTCGTCATCCTCATCCACTGGTGGTGCGCCAGGAATGTGCAGCGCGCTCTTCTTCACGAAGCCAATGTAGTGCCCCGCGTCCGCCTCGGCGCCTTTATGCGTGACGATCGCTGTGGATGGCGTGAGCCGTCAGCCTCCGGAGAACTTGCCAGAGAAACTTCGAGGGAGGACAGGGTAACGAGACGCACCAACGAGCTCGTACTGCCCCGTCATGCTCGCGCCGACGTCCGCCTTCACGTCCGGGTAGATGAGTGCTTCGAGCTCCTTGCCCTCCTTCTCGCGGTACACGCTCTCCTCATCGAGCTCCGCACCCGCAACCGCCTTGCCTTTGTCCGTCTCGGCCGTTGTACCGTCTGCGGTCGTAGTAGTCGCAGGTTCTGCCGAAGAGGAGGCCGCAGGCGCGTCCGCATCCGCCATCTGAACGTCGCCCTCTTTGTCCTTCGTGGGCTGAGCGGCCTTGGTGCGCTTGCGGACCTTGCCGCGCTCCCCGCGCTCCTTCTCGATCTCCTTCAGCCTCCGGCTCACGGGTAGGAGCTTTGCCTTGAGCTCGTCCGTCGCGATGTCGAGGGCGTCATACTCCGTCGGGAACTTCACTCTCCGCTGCAAGCAAAACGCGTCAATGGGGAGCAACGCCGTCGTGCGGGGAAGGGGAACCGACCATGATCTTCGCTTTCTTCTGGATGTCCCGCTTCCACGCGAAGCGAACCATGTGCACGGTGAGGTACGTCGGGAGGCGTGTTAACCGCTGCGTCGAACTGTACACGGCCTCGCGCCCAAGCGTCGCGGACTGCTTCTCGATCTTACCGTCGAGCGCCTCCATGATGCCCTGCTGCATGTAGTTGACTGCATTCGAGATATTGCATGCGATCTTGAGCACCTTCTCGTACGCAATGGACTCGGGCTCTTCCGGTGTCTCCTCGCACTTCAGACTAAACGCACAAGGTTAGCATGCAGGGGGACTGATGGATAGACAAGGGACAACGCACATTCGCTTAACCTCCCCGGTCATGTACTGCTCGATGAACTTCGCGTTCGCAGACCCAGAGGACGGTCCCGGGAGACCCTGCACGTCCTTGAGCGCTGTAGCCATTTGCGTCCAGCACTCTTCCGCGTCTGAAAAAAAACATTTTCGTCAGCCGATATGGGGTTCACGGGCGGACAGACGGCATGCGCACCCTGCTGCGCATATGCAACACGGCCGAGCATCTTCGCGGCACTCGACTGGCTCTGCTCCGCGAACTGCGGGAACGCATGGCGGAGGGCGGCGAGAAAGGCGTTGGGCGCGATACTGTCCGTGGTTTTCGCCATGCTGCTGTAGAGCATCTTGAGCGAGGACGAGATCCCGCCGGGTGACGATCTGGGGACGGAGGCGATGGTGAGTGAGGGAGCGCGAGAGGAAAGGGTGGAGCGGACGCACCGGTCGAGTGCGGTCTGCAGTTCGGGGATGGCGCGCATCGCTTGCAGTGTGGCATTCATGTAGCATGTGTTGCCGAGGTTGACGAGCCCGACAGGAAGGGCGAGCTGCATCATGGGCGCGCGTGAGATGATGTATACGCTTGTGCGGGGCGCATATACGCACCGCTTGCGCGACCTCGCTCTCGTCCATGTCTTCGCGAAGCGAAGCAATCAGCTTGCCGAAGCTCGCATACAGAGATTGGAACGGGTGGCGCACCTTCGAGAAACTGGATGGGGGTCGACGGAGGCCTAGGGAGCTCCCCCGCCGCGCCGATGACCATGAAAGTCTGGCCCTGTTTCCGAGACGCGATGAGATTCGCCACAAGACCGTCCTACGCACGACCCACCGCTTTGGGAGCCACTTTCCGCCAGTCGATGTCATCCTGTGGTCGTCTGTTGAGTGCGAATGAACGGGCGAAGCGAAAAGGACAGGCACACCTTGAGCGTCCCACCCTTAATCATGACCTTCATCCGTTCTGGTGGGACCCCGGTAAGCTGATAAACCGCATCCTTGAAGAGGACCGGGGGCTGGTCGGGGTCTAGCTGCACGTCGTGGATTTTTCCAGCATGCTTGATTTTGACGGAGATGGGGGCCATGGAGGTAGACTGGGGGCGGTGAGAGTGGAGGAGGAGCGAAGGGAAGAAAAGTTTGTGAGTGGCAGACGCGGCGTCGTCACCCTGTGGACGCGTACGCCGCCAGACGCCGCCCGAGGACCACTGCAGAGACCCGGTCTGGCTGACAAAGCGGCGGCCCGGGCTTCCTCGAGGCTGGGGCAAGATGACGTAGCGCCGCCGGACGCCCAACGTGTCCCGCAGCGCATCTCGACTCGCCTCTTCAAACGTTCAAATACCGCCCGCCACGGCCCCTGCCCATCAACACTCTCTTGCCCGCACCTCACCTCCCTCCAAAGGCACCGCCGCAGCCCACCATGACGGTCTAGTGAGTCTTCCGCTGGCCTTCATGCCCCAACGACTTATCCGCTGACCCACCTCTAGCTACACTCTCACTTTCATGCTCCTCGCCTCCGAGATGGGCGCGTTCTGCGTGCTCGTTTTCCCTCTACCGCACGTGGTCCGCAAGAAGATCTTCAACTTTCTCTCCGAGTCTCCTTTGATCGCGAAGGTTGCATACGGGGTCAAGATTTCGTTCATGTGCGTCGCGTGTCGTGTGCCCCTTCCCCCTCACTTCCTCTCATGAGATTACGTCCAGTTTCGTGGCGATATTATTCGTGGATGCGGTGCAGAGGATGTGGAGGGTGACTGCGGAGGCGGATTTGGCCAAGTCGACGGGTTCGGGTGTCAGGATGTCCGTGGGGAGACGAACATCGCGGCGCGCAAATTCTAGTACGTGTCCCCCACTTGCCTTGTGCGCATTGGATTCACCGTTGACTCGTGCGCAGTGCGCAGCGCAACGTGTACCTGACCGGTTTCTGCCTGTTCCTGTCCCTTGTCCTCACCCGCACGTTCTCCATGGTCCTCGACCTCATTCACACCCAAGAAGAGTATGCCAAGTTGAAGCAGTCGGTATGTACCATGTCACTTCACACGTGTACTCACGAAGCTCATCCTACGCTAGACTCGAGCTCGAAGTTGAACGGTGTGGATCAGGCTAAGGAGATCAAGGATCTCAAGGCTCGGCTTACAGTGGCTGAAGAAAGGCGAAAAGCTATGGTGCGTTTATCGTTTGGCGGTTTAATATTCTCGCTGACCCCTGATCCACACGGACGTAGATGTTGTGAAGAAGCAAGCGGAGCAGAACGCGCAGGAGTACGACCGACTGGCTGAGGAGTACAACAGGGTGACGGGCAGCAAAAGTGATAAGCGCAGGGATTGATGTCCGTTTGTGCGTTGTTTCATGAATTGGATTATTGTACTTGGATTGGAGAAAGTGTGTATGTGCAGCCGAGCACACTGAAGGTCGCCTGGATGGAATCGTCATGTTTGGGCGCTGGGAGATGGCAGGGCGGAGGACGTCATCGGGCGTCCGGGAAAGATGGATC